GACAAGTCCTGCTCAGGAGCAACAACAGGGTCACTTTTATTTGAGGGTTGAGTAGCATCATAGCTCCACCATGTGGTCAGTGCTTTTATCTCTATTCTCTTATGGTACAGTATGAGGTGTTGTTTCACACATTTTTGCAACTCCAAAACATTTCAATTTACCTTCTCTATTAGGACAGGATCTTTAATGAGATCGAAATTCGATTACTCTTTAAATGTTGCACAATATATCCCTAAACTGAAATGTGGTATTCTAGATGGCAGTGCTATATTTCACTACTGCTGTGAGTGTATTCCAGGACAGTGTATGTCAGCTGTGTGTACCTGAGGGCTGGTCATCTCATAGTCTGAGTGTGTAACAGCAGAGTTGTAGTAGCGGTTACTGTAGCGGTAGTTGCGGTTGTCATTGGAAGAACCACTGGAGCCACCTAGAGACAAAACATAGCCAGGTTAAACAAAACACAGCACAGCAGTACACACTTGTACTTTTTATGATGAATCGTTTTCCCAGAGCTGATTAGTTGTAGTTGTGTGTTTACCAGAGCTAGAAACAGAGCTAGTAGTGGAGGTTGAATGGGAGTGGTCCATGGCAGGAGAGGTGGACGTCGATGAACTGGTGTTGGTTCCTTCATCTGTCGTCTTCTTGAAGAAATTGTGCTGCAGGGCGTAGAATGGCGTGATGCGGCTTTTTGGGTCATAGTCCAGCATGCGCAGGATCAGATCTACGGGACATGATGAGGATAATATTTAGCCACAGGAACTAAGTCAATATGGAGTACCGTAATTTTCGGACTATAAGCCGCGCCTTTTTCCCATTTTTCAACGCTGCGGCTTATATAACGGTGCGGCTAATCTATGGATTTTTACAGCTAACGACCACTAGGGGACCTCCTAAATCTATGGATTTTACAGGTTGCAGTCTACCACCTTTGACTCTATGGGCTCTATGGCCGGTCCGCGCCCCCCACCTGTAAGCGGCGGGCTCCAGCAGGAAAAGCTGGAGGCCGGAAAAGAGTGAGACAGGTAGCGCGCAAAAGTATAAGTGGAACCGAGAGTGGTACGAGAGACAGAACGAGAGCAAGACAGACAGACATTACGAGAGCGAGACAGTTTGTGCAAAGGTGTTAAACGTGCGCTGGGAGCGCACCGTTTAAGTTTGAAAGTTGAAAAGTTTGTGTGTCTGAAACGCTATGTGATACAGTACAGTTTACACAGCACAGTACATGTTCTGTAGCTACTATTGCACTAAATGGTAGCACTTGAATACGTTATGCAAATATGCAACTTGTTTGTTGAAATGTTAATAAATGGGAGCTTCCTCAAACAGCCATCTCTTTCCCGACAATCCCCTCTGTGCACGAACCCTTACATATGGTAATTAAACATTAAAACACCTGCGGCTTATAGTCCAGTGCGGCTTATATGTGTACACATCATTCAATTTAGCTGCTGCGGCTTATATTCAGGTGCGCCTTATAGTCCGAAAATTACGGTATTCATCCTCTTAAACATTAGATACATTAAGATCCTTTACATAATCAATGAAGGGCCTCCATACAATCTCAAACACATGCTGTTTAGCTCTTGATATATAAGATATCTTCACATGCTGCAGGATCTCCGCCCCATGTAGCGCATGTTATAAGGATCGGTGAAAGAAATCAACATTCAGAGTGCATTTTTTATTTCTGATCTCTTGTCTGAAGTGTTTCTGGTGATTCAGTCTCCGTGTGTCAGCAGTCTCTGCGTCAGAACAAAGTGAACTCTTCTCTCCAAGGCAAACACACAAACACTTTTGAAATCGCGCTGTTCATAGACAGTTTGGGTTGTATCGCAGCAGTGTTTTATATCAATTCTGAGGATGAATTGTTCCAAGAGGCCAAATTGACATCAGTATATACATTGACCAAACTCAATGTTCCATCTATTATTTTTAACAATTGATGACTGATGCTTCAAAGACTGAATCTTATAACAACCATATCGCCCAGTTACATTAGACACAAACACCAAATTTGAATCCTTCCTGCATCAAATTTTAATTCAAAATGTAGATTTTAACGTTATAAATGAATCTTGGAAACTAATTGGTACAGACAGAGAATAACGGGAAGTTGTCTTCCTCCTTTCAGTTCTGCCAACGTGGCAGCTATGCAGCTAAAAATGAACTGCTTCTTGCCTGTTTGATTCACTGTGGAGCAAATGTCTGCAGCAATGGAGAGTCAGGACTCAGAGAGACACGAGGAGAGTTGGAGCTTTGATGTCAAACACTGGTGTTTATTACAAGTATCCCGGAGAAATTCACATCACAAATCACAGCAGCCAGAGGTTCTGACTGCCCGGAGAGTTGCCACATCAATTCCGCCCAGCCTCTCTCTCTCGATAGACCTTTTAACTAGTTTACAGAGAGTTAATCAACAGCTGGGATCACTGGAGATATCCCCAACATCTGGAGACACTAAATCACTTGCCTGACTCTTAGGCTCTGTGACGGAGAGTTGACCGGTCATAAAACTGAGATAACAGAGTCAGGGTTGGTTATAAACGTCAACAGGCGAAAAGGTTAAATATCTTAGGAGTAAAGACAGAATTATTCCCTAACAATCATTACTTTGGCTAATGGTTAAAATGTTGACTCTATGGTTACTGATGCTATTCTGTCTGTGACCATCATTTATATTAAAATACATTCTCTGTTTCTCTCAGCCGGGTAGAGGCCTGCCTGGTTATCCCTCCTCTCCGGTTCCTGGGAACCCGACCCCTCCCATCACCCCCAGCAGCTCAATGGCCCCGCCCTACATGTCTCCAGGCAACAGTGATGTCAAGCCGCCTCCCTCCTCCTTCCTGCCAGATATCAAACCCAACATGGCCGGCCTGCCGCCTCCTCCTCCTACAGGTACATACTCACACAACCGAGTTCATGAAAACACTGAGATTGATGCATATTATGCCAAAAATAATAACTGAATCCATAATTTTTTCATATCATAAATCTAAAATGTTTACTTTTAAGAAATGCTGGAAACATTTATAAATCCCCACGAATAACAACTTTGTAGAGATTCCCTCTCCCAGAGTCGTCAGACCAGATACAAATAGTGTGTAAAGAATCGACATGTAATGAAATTACAGCATAGACAATCAGGATGACAAAAAATATAGATGGATAGTAAATATCGATGAGATTAATGGATCTAGAAAGATGTCAAGCAGCTTCCAGGTGTTGCAGAGCAGCCAAGCCTGAGCCATACCACCTCCTCTCCACCATATAACTTGGGAAGAGTATAAGGCGCTTTCACACCGGAGTGCTTTTCCCAGGAATAGTTCTGACAGTTCCTGGGATTTTGCGTTCACACCAAAAAGATCTGGAACTAGAACTTTTTTTCCAATTTGTGATTGGCTGGGCGAATTGCAAACCACGCCCCGTACTTTGCAGTACTTAGTGCCGGCACTTAGTGCCGCCAGGCTAGGGATTGTCCCGATCACCTCTTTTTTGCTCCCGAATCCGATTCCGATCATTTTGGATTTTGACAATAGCCGATACCGATTTTTCCCGATCCGATCTTTATGCAATGCAATAAGAGAAAAAAAAGAAAAAAGCATTCCAAGTTGTCCCTTAAGGTTATTTTTTTTTATTTAAATTGGATATTACTATCCAACATGGATTATAGCTTCTTTCTTTCTCACAGCAGCATTGGATCAGTTTCAGTTTGTGCAGCATTGGATCAAAACAAAATAAAGCTTTCAGTACTCGTTAGCTTCAATTAGACCACTGCGCCCTGCCCACTCTGTTCCAAGATTTGAGAGAAATAAGCAAACAGGTCTGTGAAAACAAGCCCCAAAGAAGCAACCACATTACATGATGATTCTGAATTCTTGGAAACCAAAACTAAGGCCTCAGGAGATGACTTTAAGACTTGAACATGGTCATTTTTGTTTTGTAACATTGAATACAAAACTTAAAAAAGTATTTAAAAAAAGAAAAAAAAAAAAATCCGATCCCCATTTTTTCCCTCCCGGATTCCGATCTTTTGAAAATGCACGTGATCGGCTCCGATCCCGATCAACGTGATCGGATCGGGACATCTCACTCAGGGCACTAATACCAATCGAGTTCACACCAGGAGTATTCAGAGTATGGAGACTTATTGGATTCACATGAGTCCATGTAGTGCTTAAATCTTTCGACAATACCAAGTACTAGAGAGACTGGATTGGGATGCCAGAAACCTTCATCTCATCCTTTCCACTTTGCACTTATAGTCCTTACGCACCACTTAGACTCCGTTACACGTCGAGGATCGATACGGGTTGTATCCGCATAGATTCTCTTGCGTATAGCCCTGTCATTTACACCGAGGCCGTAACAAACGCTGGTGGACGATACCGCGAGGAGATTTTACAGCAGGAGCACACGCTGTCCACCACAGAGAATAAACAGGACAGGAACATGGCCTCCGGGGTCTTCTTCGCTGCTTTTTGGTGTATTTGTGGGCGAGCACCGCCATTTAGAGGCCCGGCATATGTACTACAGCGTTTCCAGTGGTCTCGTGGTTGAACGGACACGTTAATTGAGTCCGAATGCGTGGAACGGAAGAGCTTTTTTGAAAACGCATACGGTGCGTAAACAAAAAACCTTCCTTTGTTAAATGGGGTCTTAATTAGAACCTAGTTGTGCTGCATAATAGAGTCTTTCAATTTGGTAGTGTCATACCCCCCTTTTGCTTGGCCAATTGTAATGTACAAAATGAATTCGCGGTTTCTTACCATTTCCATAACATCTAGAATCATCATATCCCAAATTGAAAATTTTCTTTGGGAATTGGCTTAATCGGAAAGTGAGTTTGAAGAAATTAAACGGAGTCTAGGAATGATGTTCATTTTAATACTTCAATTCTGGAGCTTAGGTCTAGTGTCAAGGTTGTCCATCTCTTAAGTCTTTCAATCT